GCCTATTTGAATATAAAGCTTCGAATAGCTGGAGAGCTTTTTAATACAGAATGTTCAATAATCAATAGTATGAGTATAATGCTAATCGTATATGCCTATTTTCTCTCCACGTGCTAATGCCTCCACTTATCCTTAGACTTCTTCCACATTCTGATCCCCATGTTGAATCATTAAGAGATGACTATTGGACTCTCTCTTAAATTGAGTCCCTTCTTTTACTCAGCCGGGGTGATGGGTTTCGGCTCCCATATGAATACATTATTCTAGTCCGCTAGCCCACTTGAGGGAATATTTTCCCAGGCCCAACATATATACTCCGTATATAACTAATTTCAATTTCAATTTCTTTACTCTCTACACATTACAAATCTGCTCACCTCAAGAAGAATACGAAAAAAATGACGCCTCAAGTGGAAGCCAACAAAAATTGATGTTAATACTCCCTCCGTAACATTTATATCTTCTCACTTCCCTTTTTTGGATATAACATTCATATCTTCCCATTTCATAATCTTCCAATCATACCCTCAATAATTTTAAAAATAATACACTATTACACCTACTTTTTTGGATTTATTCTTCATTCCATCACATTATTTCACTATCTTCCCATCATACCCTCGATAATTTTTATCCCCTCTCACTATTCTTAATCTACCTACTTTTCAAATGTGAACATATATATGTTACGGAGGGAGTATGTAATTAGACCTGTCCCCATCAATATATACTATTCCCTCTGTTCCATATTTATCTCCCGAAGCAGAAATGACACATAGATCAAGATAGTGAGTGTTTTGTAGTCGATAATTGTAGGAGCAGAGAAGAGAAAAATGTGTAAAAATGCGTAAAAAGTATTGTGAACTACAAATTCTTTATCAAAAAGAGAAATGAGAGATTGTTTTAGACTTTTAGTACGGATGCAAATTAAAAAGAAAATCCGGAGATAATTGTAGGACGGAGTATATATTTTGCAGCCGGCAGACAAGTTTGGAGCCGAGATATTAAACACAAAAAGGGATTGATTTGGAGGTGTTAGCTAGGAAATTAATTGACGGTTTTTGTGGCCAGTGCGGAGGGGCGGATTGCACTTTCAACACACGTGGAAGAGTCTTTTGATATTTGAAAATATGAAAACTCTACTAACAATTAGAGCATCTCCAGTGCAAAGCTTTTAACATTGAAAAAATTATGACACATGTCAATTAATGTATGGTATGTCTATCCACATGGGATGAATGTCAAAACCCAAATAATGAAATCCTCAAAAACCTCTCCAATGCATCTCGGTTGACGTCCACACTTTTAATTAGAATTTAATTAACCATGCCTATCTTCCGGCGTAACTGATTCTACAAGAAACCATGCCCTATTCTCAATTTGTTAAATAATTCATTTATAGAATAATTAACTTTAAATATTTCTTTTAATGTGCAGGTCACCCTCTAGTAATCTAGCATCAATCGTTTCATCTCAGCAAATGCTTCTAGGGAGGTTAAAAGCAGCTACTGAATCGAGCAAGGTTAGGGGAAAAGGGTTGAGTATGATAAATGGCAAGTTGCTTGAAGAGGATTTTCATCAGGATGTAGAATATAGTTGAGGCGCTGGTTTTTAGGAGATGAGCACCATTTTTCCCCGAAATTTCCGAAAATGCGGCACTTCATACCCACGATCAGTTTATTTGGATGACTCAGCATGTTTAACAGGCCGTTTAGAATGAGAAAGTGGGATTCACAGCGTTAACATTTATTTTTGACACTTCAGCACCACATGACCGAAGAAAGAAAGCATTGGAGTAGAAAAATAAGAGCCACTTTCTTACCGTGTGACATGGCCATCTTTTTTTAATGTTAACACCAATGCATTGAAGATGCTCTTAGTCCATCCCTTTCAAATTAGTTTTCTAGCAGAATTTCACGTTTAATTAAAAAAGTTTTTACTAAATGGGTCTCAAATGGTCTTGTCTAGAGTGGTTTGAACCGGTCGATCGATCTAGTCTGACAGATGTTTAGTGTCTGTTTATTTTACATCTGTCAAATTCTTGTGTGATCTTATATGGCCTGCTTAAATCTGATGATTTGATCTGGTCTGAAGATGAAATAAGTTCAAGTAAAAACACCCTTTGATAAAATTTCTTAAATAAGAGTAAAATGTTGCAGAATTTTTAAAATGAGTGTTACATTGTTTTCTTTCCAAAACAGGACCTCTAAGCTCCTTCTTAGACCATTTGTAGTGGTTGAGAGACCAAATTGTTAAAAATGGACTCCGTCGATATGAAAACAGTGTTTAGACTCCCATTTTCTTGCATTCCAGCACCGTCAATAAAATACACTCAGCATATATTTTAACCTATCAATTTATAAAAACATTAATTAAATTATTATAAGTAATGTTGTGCTTTTATTTTTTTCGCTGAATAATTATGAAATAAAAATACATATTTCGATGTAAAAATAAATAAATTTAATTAATTTTTTTATCTTTTTTTTATTAACAAAATATGAACCTAGTTCAAGTAAAGTTCGATTATGTAATATTCAATTATTTGTGAAGGCTCCTGAATTAAAAAATTGTGTTTCATGTTTTTCCGAGGTTCAAGAAAACTTCACCAGTTAAAGCTTAAAAAAATCATTTAATATATTACCTATTGATATCATATGAAAGATCATAAAAATTTATGAATTTTGATATATTTTTTGAAAAAATTTGGATAAAAAATAAAAAAGTTATACAAGTTTAAAAAATTTGGGGATATTATGATGAAGCGATGAAATCAGCATGACATCATCCGCACAAAAAAAGCAACCTAGGACCGTCCTTTCTCTTCTTTTTTCTTTCTTTTTCCTTTTCCCACTCCTCTTAACCAACTCTCTATATTTAACCTCCTCCATCCACTTTCCCATTTTTAATACCTCTTTTAAACTACCACTACACACAATTAGGAGTCCAAAAATTCTATATTTAACTTTTTAGACTTCTAATACCTCACCACTCCAAATGGTCTTAGGGAATTTTATTCTTTTAATGTGATTAAATAAGTCATATTTAATGAAGAAACTATATTTGATCATGTTTTACAACATTGCTTATACTTTAGTTCTATTTTATGCCGTTTCTAGTTAACTAAGTGTTTATAGGCCGGATTAAAGAAGATGGCTTTCTAAGGGTAAGTTTTTTATTTATTTATAGAAGGTGTCCACTTTTAAGAATTTGTCAAAGTAAGGATATAACATGATCATATGTAGATTTTTTCTTCTCAAAATGAGACATATTTAATCTAAAAAAACAATCAATGTAACTCCTAGAAAATGTGTTGTGTGTTACTCTTCCTTTAACGAATTTTCTCAATAGTGTAAATGTGTAAGGCATAATTCGCAAACTACGAAGGGAAATAAAATAAGTAATTTACTGATTTAGAAGGTGAGAAATTAAAGGAGAGTGACAGGAGAGTGAGGACGGTAGTAATAATAACAGATGTATGTTGAAGTCTTGAAACCCGTGTGGGCCATGGTCGGAACTGCCAAACTGCCCCTATATTACGGCTCCTCGCCCATTTCAACGTTGTACATTATACACTGCACAAATACTACTACGTATATACGACGTACGTAGTATATACCTCGTACAGTCGTACTTCGTATACAACATCACAGCTAGCTCGATAATATCATATACTACCTCAGTTCTCTTAAATAAGTGCAATATACCAAATTTTACACTATTCATATGGTCTACTTTGACTACATTTTATTCATTGATGTATTAATATATTTTTTTTGAAAAAAATATTATTAAATTTGTCTCATTGTATCTTTTCAAAATCTGATTTTTTTAATTTTGTTACTAATAGAGAGTTATATATATTAATGATCAAAGTTGTGCTTCGGCAAATGTGAATTGTTGACTGTTGCACTTATTTAAGAACGGAGGAAGTATATGGATTTGCGAACAGCAGCTCCAAAGCTGAGGAGGGCGAGAAGAGGGGACGTGAAGATCAGAGTTTTCAAGGAACTCTTCACTGCGGTGGTTTCCTTTGGCGCCGCCGCTGCCGGAGGCAGCAGAATGATCTGAGACCGCCGCTCCGAGCGGGTGGAACCGACCTAGCTAGGCCGGCTGGTGGTTCGGGTTCGAAGTTTTGACATGGAGCGATATATATTGCATCATAAAATAACGAGGCTGTATTGCTATTATTATTGTTGTTGATTCTATGTTAAATTGCATGTTCTTAGATTTTTCATTTCAATTCTTATGGATCACGTTTTTTGCACGTCGTAGCAATTATAGTAGGATGAAGTGCATGGAGGACAAGTTATTTTTCTAATTATTTCTAGTTCTAGTTATTAATAAAGTCTAGTATAATGATTTTTCAATCCGGTACATACGATTGAGATATATAAAGTCTCTGCATGATATATAAAAAGGTTAACATGATACCAACACTACAAGAATTTCGGATTTTAGTGGCGGAAATTCCGCCACGAATTTCGCCACAAATGAGCGTAGTGACGGATATTTGCGGCGAAAATGTCGCCACTGAAATCTTGACATTAAAGACCTTATTGGCGGAAATAGAGTTCCGCCGCAAAATAAACACGGAATATAGTGGCAGAATTGTCCGCCACTAAATTTAATGACAAGTTTTCCGCCATTAAATTCCTTCACTGAAATTATAACATTTTTTTCAATATCTTGACCTCTTTGGCAATAAAAGACACTAAAAATATTCAGTGAATTCTAATAATCTAAAAATAATACGATTGTTATCACTATTATATATTGTCAACTATGTATACAACGTTAATTAGTAGCCAAACCACCATAATTAAGTTCATACATAATCAAAATACATAGCAAAACACCTCATTAAGAGAAAGTTAAGTTCATACATAATTTAAAAATACATAGCAAAACACCTCATTAAGAGAATTCAGTTCATGCATAATTTAAAAATACATAACTAATGACTTGGAGATTCCGAGTCTTCCGAGTCTTGGGTGTCTTGGGAGTCTTGGGAGTCTTGGGACGAACAATGAGATGACGGGAAAAAGGTTGGTGGATCCATTCCGTGTTCCTTGAAAAATGAAACCCAAGTTTTCTCAAAATTCTTTAAATGTAAATCAGGATCTTCAAGTTGCAATCTAGCATCAAAGGGTGGCATTGGGAGTGGGCACTTTTCACCTTGTGATCCAAACCATGTCCTCAACCATTCATCCCATGCAAGACAAATATCATGTGAGCGCCGTGAAGATGATGAACGCCCTTTGCCACTTGTTTCAAGCTCAAGAAGGAAAGCTTTTGAGTATCTTCCCGTTCCAAACACTCTCTTCCTTTTGCATCCAACTGCTTCTAAGTATTTGGAATTCCACTCACTTGATGTAATTTTAGATGCATTAGAGATCTCGGTTCCATTGTTAGATGATTGAGAATTTTGAATATGCTCTCGAAATGCAGCCGACAACTTCGAAACAGCCTCCTACGTATCACAAATAATACATTTTGTTGAGGCAGAAATATAACATGAACAAAACAAATTGACAGAACTTAATATTTCATAGACAAAAAAACTGCTCATCTTGAAAGTTATAGCATAATAGAACAAACATGTTTGAATTAACAGAAGAAAAAGGCACACAGTTTATAGAAACAAAACTTGCTGGACTTCAAAATAAAGCACGCTTCAATTAGCAGAAAATAGAGCATCATGTGTATGGGATCGGGATTCTCTCCGCACCCCTACGATTTGTAGCAGAAATTTGTGCTTTATCTTATGGTATCGCAGGAAGGAAAACCTCTTTTTCTGAATGTAGTAAGGAAGGCAGAGCAGATCATAGTTAACTAATAAACATCATGTTTATTGTACCCACAATTGGGAATGATGAAGTATTGGAAATTTTGCAGATTTCGGATTAAGGAGTATTTGCCTATTACTGGATTGAAAGATTTCAATGAATTGAGTACTAAGTTGATACTTGGTGCGGATAGGTTTGAACATTATTCTGCCTACTTCCTAGGCAAATATCGCTAACTCATGCAAGTTTGTTTTTCTTATGACATTTATAATTAAGAGTGCTAAGTTTTATAACATACTCATGCTCAGGAAAACATACCATACACATGCTAATAAAACTTGCTCGGGCGGAAAATGTGATCTTATGAATATATACAAATTCCAATATTTCATCATTTGTACACATGCCAAACAACACCATTTGATCTAACTAAAACAACAATAATCTGCCCAAAAAAATGCAGTATAACAAGCTTTCCTAATGAACTACAAACATGCAATCTCTCATATTTGAATGTAAAACAACTTGCCCTTGTCAAATCAAATAAATACATTATTATGCAAACACTTAATACACATGCAATCTCCCAAACTAAACTGTCATAAAGTGGAACTATATTTTTTACCTGAACTTCCGATTGCGGGTGAATGATCTCCCCATTCTTCCTCTTTGTTGGGTGGTACGTGTCACTAAGCTTGAGAGGATTTATGGCCACACCTGTGACTCTCAACTAAAACAAATTTCATATGTTTCAATCAGTGATGTAACTATATATATTTTTCCTTAAAAATCTAATACTTTTAAATTATTAAATTGACCTCTCGTGCTGCCATATCAGTCGCTGCTCGTGATCCGCCGTACTGCTTGCACCTATCTCCACCGATCATACGATTCTTCTTACCCGACTCAGACGACCTCCTATACTGCTTTGACCTTTTATACTCCTCAAGAACAGCCCACGTGAAATCGTTCACAGTTGGAGGCCGTTTTTTCGTTCTAGTTTTATCAATGACTTTGCATTATTTTCTTAATTCAATATAGATAAGTTGAAAGCTAAATACCATTTATTCTGTTTACCTTATATAATTCAGTACATTGGAATAAGCATGTTGTCGCAAATATTGTTCATAACCTGCCTTAATGTCTTTAGCATCATACTTGGTAATATCCCAATTAACTAAATCCTATATGCAAAGAGGAAGAATGTTAAAGTCTCAAGACTTATATAAACTGTTCTAATATATTTCTATACACTGTTTAATCATAAATTTTTTTTAAAAAAAGTAGATTTGTTTTATAAAATTGTTTAGTTTACACAAATGGATTTAGTTGAAGGAGTTACAAATTAAATGTGACTCCTTTAAGTTAGTTGAATAAGATATAAACTATCTGACATTGCAGTTCATATTTTTAGATAAAATAAATAAACCTGAAATTGTTCCCAATAGAGCTGTTTTGTTTTCTCTGGGACCCACTTCCATCGTTGACCGGCCGGATGCAGATTATATTTGATCTGCTTAGAAACAATGCCTTGAAACGTCAAACATGTGTCGCCCACTGGTTCATTAATAAGGCTGCAATAATGTGTTTTAAAAATATGTTATTATAAATATACGATAATAATAAGTAAAATTATGTGTAGTATAAAACAAAAAAAATTAATAATGAACTCACTCTCCTGCAGCATTTATACCAACACATGGTCTTTCAAATCTGGACACCGAAATGGTTCTAAAATGGTCCAACGGTTCTACACCCCACATGAGATGATTGTATGGATCGGGTTTCCACTCAATAAGCTCTTGTTCTGCATCTTTAGCATGTGATTGGTCATAGCCTTCTGTTAGATCGTCAATCGTGTTTGGCGAGTTTTGCTGATTGAGGCAAGTTGGCGTGTCATTTCGGTGGTTTAGGAAATCAGAAGCGTTTGGCTGTTGGTTACCAGTTGGAGCAAGACTTGGTCTGGTACGACGAGCTACATTGTATTGTGAAGGAGGTGGTTGATAAAGCTGTGTTGTTTGTCCCATATGGATGTCGGTGTTTCTGCCCATTGCATTACCATCGAAAGAAATGGGTGGAGACGGTGTTGAGTGACCTGAACTACTTGACACCTCTTTCGCCAAAGTGATTGGTTTAGTTTTCTGACCGGCACTCCCAAGTCCTTTAAATGAACCACCCAAACTGCCAGATACCTCTCTGGCCGTAGTTCTTAGTTTGTTGTTCTGCACACCAGCCCCCAGTCCTTTAAATGCAGTCGTATTGATAACAAAGTTTTTCTCTGGCATAGTAGAAGGTGGAGATGGTGTTGAGCGGTCTGACTTACTGGACACCTCTTTCACCGAACTGCTTGGTTTAGTTTTCTGAATGGCACTCCCTAGTCCTTTAAATGCACCACCCGAACTGCCGGATACCTCTTTGGTATAAGTTCTTACTTCATTGTTCTGTGCACCAGCCCCCAGTCCTTTAAATGCATCCGTATTGAGAACAGAGTTTTTCCCGTGCATAGTAGAAGGCGGAGATGGTGTTGAGCGGCCTGCACTGCCTGATAACTCTGTGGTTGGACGACCTGATTTCTTTTTCAGCCCTGCAGCACCTAGTCCCTTAAAAGATGTCATATTTTATTCCCTTATCTTCAAAGTAAAGACCTGTACTTTGAATAAAAGCATATCAAAAAGTAAGTAATTGAGTATGCTTCTAGCAAAAAGTGCACAACACCGAGAGACATAAAAGCTGAGGAAACCCAACAACATTGGTCTATTATTTCATTCTACTTCAGAAGCTAAATAAAAACATTTAAAACTGTACGTAAAACTAAAATCTGTAAAACATAAGAAGATAAATGAAAACTGTAAAAGCTACAAATCTAAAAACATTGAAAAAAAACAACCTGTGAGTACCATTATAAATAGCAGGAGTGGGCCTAAACTCTGTAATGGTAATCCTCCTTATGGGATGGGCAAGAAAAATACGAAGTACCTAAGTTAATTCCCTCGGTAGATTTTTCAAAAAGCAGGGGTGTGACTAACAGTCCTATTATCTGAACACATTAAACTAATCCAGAGTAGCCCAAGCTATAAAAATAAAGATATAAAACCAAAAAAACTAACAATAAAAAAAAAACCAAAAAAACTAGAATAAGCAGATAGAAAACCGAACAGTTCAATAACTAACAAGATGGAAAACTGAAAGGTATCCAAAGTAAAAGACTGAGAACAATAGATTAATTTCATAAAAGTAGTAGTCAACCAGATTAATTTGATTTGAGATATGTTAGGTATAAATAGAGGAAATTCATAAAAAACAAACCTGTGAGAGGTGAGTCAACCGCATAGAAAAGATGAATGCCGCCTCGGAGAAGATTTGAGCTTGCCGCCTCAGAGAAGAATTGCCCTAGAGAAGATGAGTGTTTCCAGCCGCACTTTTGGGGGTTTTAGTTGGGTAGAGTTTAATTTGGGCCAAGAATAGGGCGGAAAAGTGGAGGGATTTGTTTCAAGAGAGGGAGATTTGGTGAAAAAGTGGAGGGAAATAAAATTTTGGGGAGCCTATTTAGGGGGGAAAAAATGTAAACACACTACACAAACAAATTAATTTGGCCATTTGGGCCGAGAATAAAGCGGAAAAGTGGAGGGTTTTTTTTTTTACAAGGGAGGGAGATTTAGTGACAAAGTGGAGGGAAATAAAATTTTGGAAGAATTATTTAGGCAAGTAAAAAATGTAAACATATTACACTAACAAATTTCCTTAATTATTATTCCCACCATTGTCACTACCGTCATGCTCGATGTCATACTCTCCCTCTAATGCGGCATTCATATATTCCGGAGCATTCGAAGTGACAAAATGATCACCGCGGTCATCCATGTGCTGATGTATTGTAATATCGAAGCCTGTTTCAAATGAATTGCCGGGTTCATTTTGTTGGAATGCTAACGGTTGTTCATCTACGTGAGTTGAACTCCCCGCCAAGACTTTCTCCACAAAAGCTCGTGGCAAACAATGAATAACAGAAAGCCACTTGTTGGTCCTTGTCTTTGCAGTTGGATATGAGACGTACACAACTTGATCAGCTTGTGATGCTAAAATATAGCAATCTGAAGTCTGGAGCCGATATTGTATGTTCACATCAACTATATCATATAGTGGATGGACTCGTGTACCTCTGTCAGAAGGCTCAAACCATTCACATTTGAGTACGATTACCTTGTAATCTTGATAGTCCAACTGAATTATTTCATGTATTAAACCATAGTAATCGAGTCTCAAACCATCATGACTTGTGCACTTGACCATAACCCCGCAATTACAAGTCACTCTCTCTTCAGACCGTGCTACAGTGTTAAATTTGTAACCATTAATATGAAGTGTCTGGTAGGTCGTCACATACGGAGAAGGAAATCTGGATAAAGCCCGAATCCATCGTGGATGACTCACATTATTAGTTTGCACCTACACATAACTATGCATAGTCAATATTTGTCCACACAAAACAATATTTTCAATCAAACAAATAAATAATTTAAATTCTCACATGGTGATAAAACCAAATTGGGAATTGTGCTTGAAATTGAACCTCATCAGAAGCTATTATTCCAGTTGCATTGCTGAACATTCTGCAGTATATTGGTATAACATTATACTATAATTAGTTATAATGTATGAAATTACTAATTACACTATTGGGGCTTACTCTCTGAATGGGTCAATCTCTGGGCAGTTTCGTAACACGTATGAGTGCACTGCATTGGATTCATCTTGGTCCATGTATCGGCGTGTGCCCGCGCCAATTAATTTTGCCTTCTGTGCAAAAATGGAAATGGTAGCATCATCATTAATCATGAACCCATCATCAAATCTCGGCACACGACGTGCTTTTGTGGTTACTTCTTCCGGGAAGTAGTAACTCGCAAATGTACCCATCTCACTAAGCAAATAACCTTCTCTGATCGAGGCTTCAACCCTAGCTTTGTTACCGATCTTTGTCTTTAACACTGATCCTAAGAAGCTACATGAAGAGTAACAATTAATATATCAACTAACATTTAAGACATGAGATAACAATTATAATACAGTACTTTAGTAAGCACTCACTTTTCAAAAGGATACATCCATCGATAATCAGGTGGTCCGCCTAACAGAACTTCATCTGGTAAATGTATGGGAAGATGCTCTGTGGGGTCAAAGAATGAGGGCGGGAAAATCTTCTCTAATTTGCATAAAATAACAGGGATGTCTAGCTTTAGTTTCTCAATGTCAGTGACCCTAACAGTCTTTCTCGTTAGGTCACGAAAGAACAAGCTAATCTCGGTAATTGCCTCCCAAATCCCTGTAGGTAGCATCTCTCTGAAGGCAACCGGGAGTAAACGTTGCATAAAGATGTGGCAATCATGACTCTTCATACCAAATAACTTAAGATGCTCCATTTCTACACAACGTCCCAGTCGAGATGCATAACCATCGGGGAACTTCAATGAATCAACCCAGACACACAAAGCTTCCTTTTGCTTAATCGAAAGGATGAAAGGAGCCTTTGGATATTTCCCTTGACGGTCCCGCGCCATACTTGGCCTGTGGCAAGTATGTTCCATATCCATTCTCCCACGGGTATGATCCTTTGACTTTCCCGGTACTCCCATAATGGTGTAAAATATGTTTTCGAAGAAATTCTTCTCTATGTGCATTACGTCAAGATTGTGACGTAAAAGCAAATCCTTCCAATATGGAAGATCCCAAAAGATACTACGTTTCTTCCATCCGATATCCTTTCCAGCCACTTTATTATGTTCTATGCCGCCTAATTCAGTCACCAACATCAATGCATCCATCTCACCATAGCAATACGAACCATCTCTTTGCAATGGAGGGCCATACATGATTGCTTTACCCTTAGTAAAGTTTTGGGTGTCTAATCGAAATGGATGATCACCTGCTAGGAACTTTCGGTGGCTATCAAACCAACTGTGCTTCCGACTGTGGCGGAGCCAAAATGCTTCAGTAAACTCAGTACAATATGGACATGCAAATTTTCCCTTTGTACTCCATCCAGAAAGCATAGCATATGCAGGGAAATCACTCACTGTCCAAAGCAAGATGGCTCGCATGTTAAAGTATTCCTTTGAAAGTGCATCATACGTTATAGCCCCAACCTCCCATAGTTCCTTCAACTCTTCTATCAATGGTTGCAAATAAACATCTATCCTCTTTGCGGGGTTCTTTGGACCCGGAACCAATACAGATAAAAATAAGAATTGCCTTTTCATACATGTACCGGGAGGCAAGTTGTATGGTGTCACGATTATAGGCCAACATGAGTACTTCTGTCCAAATTGTCCGAATGGTTGAAACCCGTCCGTGCATAGACCAAGTCTAACATTTCTTGGATCCTGGGCAAAATATGGATAAAGATTATCAAAATGAGACCATGCCTTTGCATCTGAGGGATGACGCATCACCCCTTGTTCTGTATGGTGATCTTTATGCCATCTCATTTTCTCAGCAGTGGTTTCCGAAGCATAAAGCCTCTGCAGCCTAGGAGTAATCGGGAAGTACTCCATCCTTGAAAGCGGAATTGATGTATTGGACTGGTTGTTAATCATGTACCTCGCACTGGAGCAAAATTTGCACTCCATTAGCTCATTGTCTGCTTTCCAATAGATCATGCAACCATTTGGACAACAATCAATAGATTGATGTTTCATTCCCAATAGCGAGAGTTTCCTCTTTATTTTCTTGAAATTCTGAATGGGCCTGTTTGGGATATGTGTTGGGAAAAACCTATTCACAAGCTGGATAATTCTGTCTGTTGCAGTCTCTGATAAATCCATCTCAGTCTTTAAGTTCAGTATTTCAGTCATTGCACTCAACTCCGTCATCGGACAACCATCAAAACACGGTTGACTTGTCATTTCTAGCATTTCATGAATGCTTTCTGCCATTGGAGTAGGATCGTCGTTCGTATGCATACCATCTTGAGTAGATGGTGGGAATTCATTCCTAACCGCATCTTCAAACATCGCCTTGTACGGGTCATATGGAAGTTCAGATGTATTATCTCGAGAAGAGCTAGCTCCATCTAAATAAACTAATCCGTTGGAATTAGATGTCTCTCCATGTGCCCCCCATACATAATAATTTTCTATAAACTCCTTTTCAAAAAGATGTTCCCTAACAATATCCCAAGTCAAGGATTTCTTGTTCTTGCACTTTCTACAAGGACATGCAATGACACCACTTGGATATAAGTTCAGTGCCGTTTGAAGAAACTCATTAACCCCTTCCTTAAAATCTTCATTTAGCAATCCTCGATCGGCAAGCCTTTTATACATCCATGATCTATTAATGCTCATTTTTAGACCTAAACATACCATACAATATTACATATTATTTCATTAGCTCACATATATAGTAAATTAAATTAATATTGAGAATTTCCTTCCCCTAATTCTTGGTTACTTTTTATAAACAACATTTTAATAATAAATCAACAATTTCAATTATTTATCTTTCAACTAATATAAAGATAATACATATATTTAATAGCATTATATTTAAAAATATTAGAGTTCTTAAATTATTTAAACTAAGTAGTCTACAATTTTAATTTCAAAAACAAGCAACATTGTTAATAATTAATACTAATAATAATAAACCAACAACTTCAATTATTTTATCTTTCAACTAACCTAATAATTAATGTATAATTAATAGCATTTGTTCTTAAATTATTTGAACTAATAATTAAGTAATTAAGTACATACGTCTACAAATTTTTGAAAACAAGCAACGTAATTAACATTTTTTTAACAAACGTAGTTAACAAATGTATACACATAACACATCATAAATTTGATATACATCATAGATCGGAACTTCATTTTATCATGCATCTCCATCGATCTTCAAATATTTTTAAACATAAAAATAAACGAAACTACCCAAAGTATATATATATGTAAAACTAAGTATTATAAGTACAAATCACAAGATTAAAAACAAATAAATTAAATATTTATTGAGATATAAGAAATTTCATACCTTAAACTCATTTGAACATGATGAAGAAGATAAGTCGTCGAGAGAGTAGAAGGAATTTTAATTTTTTTGTGATATGAGTTGGTTGTACAATGAATTTTGGTTGGTGAGGGAAATTAAACATTTTGTACTTTACTGACGAAATTTAATGACGGATTCGTCCGCTGCTGTTTTGTGGCGATTACTTCTGCCACAATATTCCGCCTTTAATTAGTAGCGAAAAAGCCCCGTCACAATTGTCCGCCACGAAATTGTGACAGAATGAATCCACCAGTAATTTGCGACAGATACTAATCCGCCATTACTTTCCGTCAGGGATTATCGGCAGACACAAATCCGCCACCAATTTTCGCCATAAAAATCCGAATTTCTTGTAGTGCAAGTATTTCATTTGCACCTACTGCTTAGCAATTGAAGTATGTACGGAGTATTATGTAATTAATACATTTGCTCCTTCATTTATGGCATATATGTAGTAAACCCTAATTAAGAAGTTTAAATTCGAAGTATATAATCCAGAAAAATATTCGTTCATATCATCATATGTAGGATTGTCGTCTTGGCCCTGAACTCATTCTGCCTTTCTCCACGTAATGATATGGAAGTAGAGGTCGATAACTTCAAGAGTGGATGAGAGAAATTATAAATCATGAAAGGGAAGAAACTTTGTATGTTTGGCGAGAACGTTAAGGAGGTCGAACTTTGTATACCCTGGATAAACTTCTATAGTTCTATTGATGTTTTTAATCTAGATTGAAATTTTCTGATCTTGTCTAGTCTAATTAACCTGGTGTGATACGATTTAATTCGGTTTGGTTTGATTTTGTAAATACCTAGTCTTTGTGGTTTTTATAAGTGATCAAGTCTGGTCGATCCGATCAATCTGGAACTGATATAAATTTAAGTAAAAATGTTCTATATTTAATACAACTAAACTGAAACTAGAGACTAATATCTAAAAATCTAAAATGAAGTCTATCATCAGAATCGGACCCCGTAGCGTTTTGGCACCAGAGGAAGATCTATGTATAAGCTATGGTGGGTTGAAGCAAAAGGTAACTTAATTTCCCCCAATTTTTTTAGTGTAATTTTTTTCATTTTTCAAATTTAGCTCACTAGTGTTTAAGCCTAATATAATTCATTTTTAGTCAAGAACATTCCAGATTCCTAGATCCGTCTTTGTTTGGCACAAATATGTTGAGTTCACGAAGTTTATGAGTATATTGACTTTTATCAGTTCACAATTTTCAAAAACATTAAACACAATCAGATACGTGAAAGTATCGCAAGTCTAAAAATTAAAGGGTACGGTTGCAAAAAATTAAAAAAAATGTGACCTTCAATTTTTAGTTTAAAAAACTGAAAATGTGTTTTCAGTGATAACTTTTACTTAAATTAAACATTTGAAAGCTAAAATCTGAAATCTGCTTTATACATTTTCTATTACACAAAAACACATATCTTATCAAGCACTACCAATTTTTACGTTGTCAAAATCAATTTTTCTCAAACACTACAACTTTTACTATTCAGTATTAATTTCTTTTACAATATTACTTTAAAAAGTCAATTTTTAAAGCAGAAGCAATTGCACACACTATCTAAAATGATGCTAAACTCACTTACTCCGCATAAGATTCAATAACACGCACGTGTGTGCATTTCGTAGACTTTAATGTAAAATTAACAATTTATTTATATGTTGAGAATTTGACAATACAAACATACACTAACATACTGAGACCATCTGGAGTAGTGTGAGAGTCTAGATGTAAAAATGGATCCCGTTTATATGAAAACACTGTTTTGACTCATATTTTCCGCATTCATCATTGTTAATAAAATACACTTTGTACATGTTTTTACATATCAATTTAGTAAGACGTTAACTAAATTATTATAAATAAAGTTTTCTTTTAATTTTTTTTGATTAATCCTAAACTAAAAAAAAAATCGATGTAAAAATAAATAAATTTCATCTATATTTTTTTACGTTCAAACAGTGTCAAAATCGTAACAATCGACGGATCTACCAATTTGTTTTAACGCTAACCGTTTTGGGTGCCCAGTGACGTCATCACGATGTCACCATGACATCACCCAGCTGAATTTCTTTTCTCCGCAAGAAGTCTGCCATGGGCCAGGTCATTTCCCTCTTGGCACAGTTCACATCCGCCCACTCCCTTCTCATTTCCATTTTTTTAATACCCTGTTATTCAACTCATCAATGCATGAAATTAGATGTCCAAAAATGTCAATTTTAACATTTTGACCTAATATTTGACCACTCCAATTAGCCTGATATACTCCGTATTACGTATTAACAGGGGCGGACCCAGGAAATTGATATTGGGGGGGCGATAAATTAAACAAAAAAATCTAGGCGATTATTATTATAAGTATAACCTTAATATAATACGGAGTAGTAATTAAATGAAGCATTATACTAGAAGAAGAGACAAATATATTATTACAAAATAGTTAAAGTTAGTACCTTAGAATTGTACCCAACGCTTCTTCAACGAGATAAATTCCTCAATCACGGCTTTTTAGTCAAAAGTTTTAGCAATTTCTCTTTCAATATAAACAATAAGGTTGTCTGCAACATACTCATCCTCCATTTTATTGTGAAGCCTTGTTTTTATAATTTTCATTGCGGAAAAAGTCCTTTCGGTTGTTGCTGTCGAAACCGGTAGAGTCAACAAAAGTCGGATCAATTTATCAACAAGCTAAGAAAGTACACTTTTGACATCTCCGTGTCCGCTAATCTTTGACAAAGTTCACCCATTGTAGAAAAATTCGTCAACTTTGGATGGTTTAGAACATTGAGCTTATAATGTTGCAATTGAAACCTCAAGCTCAAGCTCACCTTCTCCTGCTCAATAAAATCAAAGGGGTAATATTTATCCACTAAAGAACAGATATCATCAATGTTAAAAGACTTATATGAGTCCTTAGGATCCAAAGCACCACTAAGAGTAAGAAGATCCATTATTTGTTCACCGAATCAGCTATTCAGCTCCAACAATTATGAATCTATGGCTGCGTAAAACATATCAACCCGATAGTGACGTTCAATATCAAACTCTTCTTGATCATGGCGTTTGCGTTTTACCGCATAAGGAGACTTCATATTAGGAACTTCAATTTCATGCTTTGTGCAAAACTATTTAACAATTTATAAGAAGTTATCCCATCCACCCTCCCTTAACTTTTGGATCAACATTTTGGTGCTTGACACCAAATGCATAGCATTACTATGTCTTGGCAATTCTTCTGTATATGCTGACATAGAAGATCTGTAATGCCCATAATTTCTTTAATAAGATGCAACAAGAAAACAAAATCAAAAGATTTAATCTTCTTAAGTTCTCTAGCTGCATTTCCACGAGTAGAATAGTTATTGTCATTCTCTTCAACATCTTCTAAAATAGAACAAGTTGCAGCAAACATCCTAATCAAACTGCAAACAGAACTGAAATGTGAGCTCCAACGAGTTTCCCCAGCTTGTTGTAATGTACCAACCTAATTAAGTCCTCTGCTTGTTTAAAGCTCACCAATTTCCAACATTCTTGCAATTTCAAGTGCTTGAGCTTCCTTTAATTCATCACTTCATTTGCAAGAAGAATTAGTCACATTAATAATAAAGACTGAATCGATGAAAAAATTGTGCACATATTTCACCTCTCTAGAAGCAGCAATCAATGCTAATTGCAACTGATGTGCTAAGCAATGAACATAGTAGACATAAGGACAATCAGTTAAAAATAATCGATCTTTCCGTTTCTTTCTTCTAGGTGCGCATGTTTTTCATTAGTTTGGTCTGAGCGGTGGGCTGGGATTAGATTTTGGGGTGTGTTAATGGGGAATAAATTTTGGAGTGAGTTGATATAATATTACATGTAAAATTTCTATTTTTTAGGCTCTTAAACAATTGGGTTTCTGCGAGTGGGCTATGCTTTGGGGGAGAAAATATTTTTGGGGGGGTTGAAACTTTTTCTTGGAGGGGCGAGAATTAAATGTTGGGGGGGTAAAAATAAAAATTTTGTATATATATATATACTAAAAAAAATTGTTGGGGGGGCGGCAGCCCCCCTGGGTCTGTACTACGGTCCGCCCCTGCGTATTAACGTATTCAAACCGAAAACTACTATGGATGACAATTAAATCTTGCAGACTTTTTTGTATGCACACACGTGTCTTATTTTATACTCTGTTGAAAAATTTATTTTGCAGGCAACAGACAACTTTGGATGAGATCGATAGAGATAGTACTACCTCCGTCCTAAAAACTTTGTCGTTTTTAAAACTTTGACCGACTATATCTCACAATTATTTATAATATAAAAATTATATGAAAACGTTCTTTGCTTAAAAGTATAATTTTTTTAACTTGCATAATATTAATTATACTAATCAAAATGAAGGTTCAAATTTTTTTAAACGACATTTTTTTTTGGAACGGAGGTAGTATTAAAAACAAAAGGGATTGATTTTGATGTCTTAGAGCATCTTCAATGGTACAATGTGCACGGTGCACACGTGGCATGAGAGATGGCCACATAAATATTAGTAAATAAATTATTTCTCTCATTATTTGAATGATTTTATACAGTTTTGATAAGTTTTTCTTCACAATGTCAAGGAGACCGTCTAATGTTGACATTGTTGTTGACATTGCAGGGAAAAACATACCAAAATTGTATAAATCATTCAAATAAGGAGAGAAATAATTTATTTGCTAATAATTTTGCGGCTATCACTCATGCCACATGTGCATCGTGGACATTATAACATTGGAGATGCTCTTAGATACTGAATTGACTACTTTTTTTGGGGCCGGAATGGGGCGGATTGCATTTTCCACACACGAGGAAGAGTCTTTTAACCGTTGAAAATATGAAAACTCTACCTGCTATCAGTCAATCCCTTTCACATTACTTGTTCGATCTTAGTATAATTTGACCTTAAACTGAATTAATGTTGTGGTCTAATTAGGTATCCATCAAATGATATTTTATTTGATAAGTGAGCATGTGCAAGCTTTTATTTGGAGACTTTTATTTCAATTTTCAAA